GCTTGCTCCCTGATTCCTCAACCCAAGGGTGCAAGTGCGTTCTTTCTCAACACTACAAACAAGCAGGGGATTGGGCCCCCTAGGCAGGAAGAAGCAGTGTTCATTTGCCCTGAAACAGAGTTTTGGAGGCTAGGAGAGGGATTGTCTGAGACCTGAAAGAATGGAAAGTGAAATGTCTGTTCAGTTCAGTCTATAGAATGGCTGGCATTGAGGCTTTGAGTCTACCCCGTGTGGACTCTCAGTGTGTGACTTTACTGTGATATGATCATGAAATTATTTATTTCACACACTCCCCTCCAAAATCAAAGCCATAATGAGAAAAAGGGCTTCATAATCATGTCTGGGTATTTTGGTAACAAAGAAAATGGCTGTTGACACTGATAATAAAAAACTGCTGTTCATAAATTTGAACTCTTTGTTGCCATTTATAAAAGAAGCTGCGTATTGTGAGCTCATTAGTAGCTGAACTTTATTTTGTCAAAGGAAATGGAGTCAAGAGAGATTATGTTTCATCTTTAATATGGCTGTTCAACAACAATGCCATTATGCTGAGTTTCAGATGAATTTAATTGAACCTTAATGAACAAAATTAGTTGTTTTGTGCAATTAGAATCCTATTTAAATGGGTTAGAAAATGAATAGGATGGTGAATGTGGTTGCCTTGATTTTCCTCAAGACTGACTCCCTCGGCCTCTTCCTGCCCTAGCTTTTCTTTCTCCACTGCATAAATGACTAATATTTTTTAAAATTTAAGAAGTTTTTTCTTGGCTTGCCAGTTTTATTCCTTCAGGCTACAAAAAACATATGGGACCTCCAAGGAAGTGAGGAGCAAATAGAACTGATCAATGGGAACAGTTAGAACTAAGGGAGAGGTGCTCTTCTGGTCCCTTGAACCCAGCCTCTTGCACACCTGAGATGAGAAAGTAGCTACTGAACAGCAGCTAACAAAAAATAAGGAAGGCTTCAGAGGCAGCTCTGGGTGCAGATCTTCTCTTTATCATTTAATACTTTGTGACTTGGAATTTATCTCTTGACTTTGAACCTCAGTGTCTCCATTCATTAGTGGGAATAATAATATATTTTCTTTCTTTCTCTTTCTCCCTTTTTCCCCACCGTGGTAGGGATCAAACCAAGAACGTTGGGCATGCTAGGTAAGCACTTTACCACTGAGTTCCACCCCAGCCCTATATCTATTTCTTAACAATAGTGACATACATTCAGTGAAAGAATGTATATGAAGTATTAGGCACATTGCCCAAGTCCAAAAGTGGGAGCTGCTGCTGTTGTTATTACTGTTCTTCGTCATCATTATCATGGTCACCTTTAGTCTTGCAAGTCCACCTAAATTAGGCTGGAGTTTCTAGTCAACAATAAACTTTCCCAAGTATTGTCCTAAATGCTCAACTAGAGGAAAGGGAAGAGGTGAGAGGTGCAATTTGCTTCAGTGGCTGGGAGGTTGGCATTCTCCTTGAAGGGGAGAAACAGGAACTGGTAAAGCTGGATGAGGCAGATAGGCATGGTCCCATGACATTTCTGCAGAGGACTCCCTTCTGACCCTCCAAAAAATTGTCAGTTCTTTCCTCTGTGCAGTGAGGGAATCCGGTGATCCCTGTGGACCTTTTCAGCTCTGAGGCCTTTATGATTCTGACAATTGCTGACTCTCCTGCCTAATGGACCACATTCCAGTGAGCCAGACAGCCTTTGCCAAGAAATCCTTCAGATTTGTAGCAGAACTGTAGAAGCTTCCTACTGAGTGTTCCTACCAGCACCAGGGTGGACTCAGTGCTCTGGAATGTAGCTTCTGGATATTCAGCTGAGGTGAGAATGAGGTCCAATGAGATTTGGCTAAGCTTTAATAAACATAGCCTCCCTTCTGTAGCACAGAATCAACAAAGGTGATTTTGGAAAATCAAAGATGATTCTTTGGAAAAGCAAAGAAAAGAATTATTCATGTTCCCCTTGGTCATGCCAGCCTGAAGGTTTAAATGAGTTCTTAGTGAAAAAAACAAACAATATTTTTCCTGTTTTAACTATAAAATGCTATTATAATATGTCAAGTCTCCTATCAAATGCTCAGTAATTATTTCTGAGAGTCTCTAAGAGGCATCTCTGATGTGCTCATAAATAAATCTTCTTTGTTTTTACCAGGTGACCACCATTTTGTTCTGACTTTTTTGCCAACATAACTTCAGGAGTGATAGCAGCTATCACTGCCCTCGGGACTGGGGAGCAGCTGGAGTTTCTTCTGTGACTTGTTGATAATACTGAGGCCACCCAACCCCAAGAAACCAGAGTGGATGTTGCCACTATTGTGATGTTTAAGATGCAATGATGTGCTCTGGGCCTCTGCTGGATGAAGTTGGGGATTGTAGGGCCAGGACTGCCACTACTGTTCTTGTTAGAACTAGTGTAAACTGAGGATGATGCTCACAATATTACCCTGTACCAGCTCTGCACTTCTCTGAGGCTGAAAAATTATCATCCCACTTTTGTTGTTCTATCTATAGTGGTGCTTAATCCAAAGTAGCAGAATTTCATTTCTTAACCTCTCAAGGAGACTCTTCTGCATGCTGCCTTTTGGGTTTTTGTTTCTTGTAGTCCTTGTTTTCATGAAGGTTTGGGGCTCCAGAGGGCTAAACATTGAAGGCTTTTACAGATATGAAGGATAAAAATTTACTCAAGTTATTTGAGTAAAGGTAATTTCTTTGTAGTGTAAAGAGGGTGGAAAACTCAGCCACGTAACTGGATCTCATGGGGCTCTAGGAAGCATCTTGGCTTCATGGAAATAATATAGCTGACAACAGGAAGATTCTTTGCATGACCTGTTTATCCTGTTGGGCCCTTGCCCTCAGCTCACTGACCTTCAACATTTTCTATCACCTGCAACTACCTTTCCTTGTAAGGTCTCTATTGCTGCCTTCACTTTTTGATTTTTTTCAGCTTCTGCTTCCAAACACTCCAGAGACTTATTTCCAAATTTCCAACCCAAAAGTCGTCAGTAGAAAGTGAGTCTGGGTTTTTCTTTTTGTTTATTGACCTATGCCTAATATTTAAAAGAGTTACAGTACCACTTAGTTAATTAATTTATGAGTACTTTTGGGGGCAAGTTACTTAGTTTTCTTTACCTTCAAAATGGAGGTAATAATAGCAACTAAATTATAAGATTCTTGTAAGAATTAAGTGGATTAATATTTGTAGTGCATGTGGAGTAGAGTCTGCCATAGAAGCATGTCTTTTGTTGACGTTGTTGTTTTCTTTCTTTCTTTTTTTCCCCCAGGACTGGAGATTGAACCCAGGACCTTACGCACGCTAAGCGAGCACTCTACCTTTGAACCACATCCCCAACACTGAAGCACATCTTAAATAAGACTGTTTAAAAATGTCTGTTCATACTTGATGTTTAGTAAATAAGTTCAGAATAAATCAATTTATTGAGGAATCAGATTGGCTTACTTAATGGCCTTTTCTCTATTTGAGAACTCTTATTATAGGTGTCTTCACCTTCTCCTTTGGGTCAGTTTCCCACTGAAGGCCACTGGGGTCTTGTGACCAGCAAAATGACTCATGTATAAGGAACCTCTTGAAAGACAACACACTATATTCAAAACTATCCCTTTCTTCCAACAACTGTTTAAAACGCATGTACCTTTTATATTGTGGGCCTAAATGAATATGTAACAACAAATTTCACCATTATATACAACTATCAGTTAACAAAATACGGGGAGAAATGCATGTACTGATACCTGCCTTAGGAAGACTCTTTCCCAGAGGGTTCTTGGTCTCCTTTGTTCAGATACCCATGGAAGTCTCTCCCATTGATTCTCCAAATAGGCTCAGTCTTCTCTAACTCTCAGTGGCAAATAAAAAGCTGAGACTCTTTGTTATGCAGCTCTCTTCTTTTTCTCCCTGTCATTCTTTGACCTTCTTCCTGAAGCTCAGGGACCTCAGATTGCAGAAAAGAGGCCTCCTCCACTGAGTACTACTGTGCATTCACAGGCACACGGCTGCATTTGGATGCCAAGCTGCCCCTCCTCTGACCTAAAGGTATCTGGATTTTTTATTTCCAAGCTAGAAGGCCACCTGAGAGCTGGGGAGAACATTTCCAGGGCCACCAATCAGAAATTGAGCAGAACTCTTTAATATTCTTTCCTTCTGGCTCCTAAGAGAGCTAAGTTCCACCAGAGGTCCTAAGTTATCAGACAGGAAGTTTTTCAATTTAATTTTTTTAGGAAGTTGTGTCTCTGAGGTCCCTCAAGTTAAAATGGAGCAGTGGAGGGAGCTGGCAAGAGACTCTTCGTTGTGTTAGTGGGCAGGACCAGGTAAATGGGGGCAGAAGTGAAGTCTGAGGAGGGTCATGGAGGAGCACAGGAGATAAAGCCATTGGCTTCAACTGTAGCAAGATCAGATGGCTGCTGTCTGGATGGCTATTTTCGATAACTTTCATTTGATTATCCATGTTGTACAGCCTAGAAGGACCTCACCAGCCAACTTACAGGCCTTTTAGGGCTGTGGTTCTCAATCAAGCTACATAGCAGTTATTGACTTTAGGAGTTATTTTAAAAATAAAAACTCTTTGGTCTTCACTCCAGACCTTATAAATTAGACTCTCTTAGAGCTGGGGACCTAGGAATTAATGATGTTTTAATCTTCCACAGGTCTGAATGCTATCTTGGGTAATCTGGACACTATAGGGAAATGAATCCAATTCCTTTGGGCTAAATGCCATTCTGAGTTACAAAGACAAAAATATTGCCACACGCAGAAGGCATGAGTCAAAGAAAAAGCATCAACTTTCACATTCAAAGACCTGAGTTTGAATCTCATCTCTGCCACTGAGTCAGATTATTCTGAATAAATCATTCAACCTCTTTGAGCCTCATTTTCTTTATCTGTAAAATGGGATAGGGACATTTACCCTTTCTAGTTTATAGAGTCAATTCAAGTACCAAAGAGAACAAATAAATCGAAGTGCTTTTTTTTAAATTGAAAAACACTGCTCGCTTTGGCAGCAAATATACTAAAAATTGGGAATGATACAGAGAAGATTAGCATGGCTTCTGCACAAGGATGACATGTAAATTCATGAAGCATTCCATATTTTTTTAAAAGCTTCTTCACAGCAAAGGAAACAATCAAGAGCATGAAAAGAGAGCCTACAGAATAGCAGAAAATCTTTGCTACCTCCTCCTTGGGTAGGGCATTATTATCCGGGATATACAAAGAACTCAAAAAACTTAACACCAATAAATAAATAACCCAACTAATAAGTGGGCAAAGGAACTAAACAGACACTTCTCAAAAGAAGAAATATGAACAGTCAACAAATACATGAAAAAATGTTCAACATCTCTAGCAATTAAAGAAATTCAAATTAAAACTACCCTGAGGTTTCATCTCACTCCAGTTAGTATGGCAGTTATCAGGAATACAAGTAACAATAATATGTTGGTGAGGATGTGGGGAAAAGGGTACACTCCATTGTGGGTGGGACTGTAAATTGGTACAACCACTATGGAAAACAGTATGGAGATTCCACAAAAAAACTAGAAATGGAAGTACCATTTGACCCAGTAATCCCACTCCTTAGTATAAAATTGGCGTACTACAGTGATGCAGCCACATCAATGTTTAAAGCATAATTCATAATAGCTAAGTTATGCAGCCATCCTAGGTGCCCTTCAACAGATGAATGGATAAAGAAAAGGTGGTGTATATAGACAATGCAGTATTACTCAGCCATGAAGAAGAATGACTTTATGACATTTGCTGGTAAATGGATGGATCTGGAGACTGTCCTGCTAAGGTGAAATAAGCCAATCCCAAAAAAACCAAAGAGCGAATGTTTTCTCTGATATGTGGAAGCTAACCTACAATAATGGGTGGGGTGGGGGGAAGAACAGAAGTTCAGTGGAGTATACAAAAGGGAATGAAGAGAAGGGAATTGGAATGGGAAAAAAAAAAGATAGTGGGATGAATCTGGCATAACTGTCCTATGTACATATATGAACACATCACTAGTGAATCTCACCATCATGTACATTTACAAAAAATTAATTAAAAAATAAAAACTATGGGTAAATGGCATGAAGATCAACAGAGGGAAGAGAGTAGGGAGGGGTTCATTCAAAGAATCAACTATTACAATGGTATGAAACCTCCCAGGAGCACTAATAGAATCTAGAAGGCACAGGAGTAAATGGAAAAATAATTTCTAACCTTGAATTCTACGTCCAATAAATTATGAATTTTGTTAGAGACAGGAAGATATTTTCCAGATACATAAAAAAACCAAGCAATTTACTTCACATGTGCTCTTTCTCAGAAAATTGCTGGAGAAAATGCTCAATGGAAATAAAGTTTCAAGGCTAAAAAAGGGAAGGGAAAGGAGAGGTACTAGAAACCAAATTAGAACAAGTTATATTCCATGCTTTTATAATTGTGTCAAAATAGATTCTACTGTCATGTACAACTATAAGGAACAATTTTAAAAGAATTAAAAAATAGCAATCAAAAATATGACACACAGAGCTCTATAGAGACGGTTACAATTTATTTATTTATTTTTAAAATTGTATTTTATTTATTTATTTTTTATTTTTTTATTGTTGGCTGTTCAAAACATTACATAGTTCTTGATATATCATATTTCACACTTTGATTCAATATGTAAATCAATGGATGTGTAACTGATGTGATTCTGCAATTTGTATACGGGGTAAAAATGGGAGTTCATAACCCACTTGAGACAGTTACAATTTAGATATTTGATGTCGCCCAAAAGCTCATGTGTGAGACAATAGAAGGTTTAGAGGTGAAATGATCAGGTTAGGAGAGCCTTAACACAATCAGTGAATTAATCCCCTGGTAGGGATTGATTGAGTAACTCTAGGCAGGGAGGGTGTGGCTGGAGGAGGTAGGTCCCTGGGGGCATGCCTTTGGGGTATATATTCTGTGCTTCTTGAGCAGAGGTCTTCCTCTGCTTTTTGGTGGCCATGTCTCGAACTGCTTTCCTCCATGATGCTCTGCCATGATGTTCTGCTTTATCTAGGGCCCAGAACAATGGAGGTGGCCATATGTGGACTAAGACCTCTGAAGCCATGAGCCCCAAAATAAACTTTTCCTTCTCTCATTGTTCTTGTCAGATGTTTTGTCTCAGCAGTGAAAAGGTGAATAAAACAGAGAGTAATTCTGTTGGTGTTCTGTTGATGAATTTGTAGCAAATCCAATAGAACAGAAAGTCCTGTGTGACGGCCTCTTTGGATTCTGCCCCAGGTACAATGGAGACAAGTTTATTTAAACTGTACAATTCTTTGATCCCACCATCAAGAAGCAATCATTGAACTCTCAGATGAAAATGGGGGAAATGAACACATGCATTGACTTCTGTCACCCTAAAGCCAAGTAAAATAACAGTACAACGGGTTTTAATGGGATTAAAAACACAAAAACAAAGAAATGGGAAGGGAGGTAATATTTTGATTAATGGAAGCCAGAAAGCCGAGGGAGGTCAAAAGGCTTGGTAGACTTGAGAACATTGAGTCCTGAGCTGGGAGTGAGGAAAGCCAAGAGGGAAGGCAACCAGCCACACGGGATTCTCCCCCAGCCAAGTCTTGGGAGTCAAAATCCCATGTACATCTACAAGTGAGGATGAGGGTAGAGATCCCAATAGACAAACTGTTGAAAGACGGTTCCAGTAAAAAGTAAGAAGCAGTGCAATGGAAAACCCAGAATTGCCTCAAAGACTCAGGAATTCGTGTCTCATATTTGTCTAGAAGTAGAGATTAAGGTAGAACTGAAAGCAGGGGAATTGTTCCAAGTTTATTTCAGAAGACTCCCAATTCCTTCCATTGGGGGAGGTGGCCTCTTTTCCCTCAGGAGAAGACTGGAAGCTGACTGCTAGGAAGGATGGGACAGAAAACCGGACTTGGCCGGCAGGTACAACTGAGCCCATCCACCACATTGGAAACAAGGGGGTTACATGAGGGTTCACAAAGTGACAGAGACTCTGCCCTCACTCTGACTTTGTTCTCTAAGTGCTGGCAACCAGGTTTATCTTGTAAAGAGAAGAGGGTGGATCTCCCATGAGACGAGCCCTGACATTTCTAACACTGGAGAATTTCCCAAAAGAGTTTAGCTAACATGGCAGCTCAGAGTTGCCAATCCTTTTCTTTGTCATTGAGCTTCCAAATGGCTTTTTCTTTTTCTTACTTTTCTCTTCTTCTTCTTTTTTTTTTTTTAGTGACAGACCACCAGATATTTGAGGAGGGCATGTAATGTGACAGAAACAAAACAAACAAGAAAATCCAAATGCAGAAAATTCAAATGGAGAGAAAGAAAGATTTAAAACACAAGGGCTGGGGTTGTGGCTCAGTGGTAGAGCACTTGCCTAGCATGTGTGAGGCACTGGGTTCAATTCTCAGCATCACATACAAATATATGAATAAAATAAAAGTCCATCAATGTCTAAAAAATAATAAAGAAAGATTTAAAAAAACAAAACAAAACAAAAACTCCTATAATTAGTATCTTCAGGAAATAAGAGAAAATATTATCTATAAAACCAGACCAGATGCTACTAAAAAGAACACTCAAAAAATCTAGATAAGAAAGTTATCTAAATCTCTGAAAAACAGAGCTATAATAAAGATAAAAGGAAAGAGGAATGAAAAAGAACAAAATGAGCCACACAAATCAGACATCCAAATAATTGGAGTCCCAGAAAGAGAAAACAGGTGGTGAAATCACTAGTGAAACAATTCAAGAAATTTTTCCAAAACTTACAGACATTAAATTATAAGTAGTCCTTGAGTCTCCAACATTCAGTGATGAAAAGAGAGCTATGAGTCATCATTTTGAAATTTCAGAATTATGGGTCCAAGAACTAAGAGCTCCTATGAGCTTTCAGGTTTCATTCAAAGAATCAACTATTACAATGGCATGAAACCTCCCAGGAGCACTAATGGAATCTAGAAGGCACAGAAGTAAATGGAAAAATAATTTCTAACCTTGAATTCTATGTCCAACTAAATTATGAATTTAGTTTGAGACAGGAAGATATTTTCCAGATATATAGAAACAAGCAATTTACTTCACATGTGCTCTTTCTCAGAAAGTTGCTGGAGAAAATGCTCAATGGAAATAAAGGTTCAAGGCTAAAAAAGAAAGCCATGTTTTGCTAGTTGTTCTAAAATGTGCCTATTCAGATCTATTCTCCATCCTTCCCTGTACCCAGGAGACTGGTCTCTATGTTTAACATTAACTGGGTTCCCTTGATGGCTAATTCAGTGTTGGATCTGGAAGTAAAGACACTGATGGGAGATCTGCATCCTTCCTTCTTGCTGGGCCTCAGTGTGGCAGAGGCTGTTTCTGCCTCACACCATGACTTCCATTGGGTGACTTCTGGCCCACAGCTCTGGCTCTTACCGGATTCAGATAGCACTCTCTTCTCTGTAAGGTTATGGCTTTTCACTGCTGCTGTCTAGTAGCAGGACTAGAGATCCACCAGCCCTGATTCCAACAGGACATAAGGCTTTGGGAGAGAGTTCACCTGAAAACCACAGAATGCTTACTCTTCTTAAAGGTCCTGAGAGGCGAAACACACAATGGGGGAGCCAACTTGGGGTTTAGTCATAAGAACATAAAAAGTAATCAAATGAAAAACAAAGCAATGACAATTTTAAATTGAGGAAAGATAAAAAGTTGTGCTGGAAAAGAAATTGTAGTGTACTGCATGGTTCAGCTACAGCACTGATATAGTCTCATAATGTCACTGGATACTGGCCTAAACCAACTCATTGGAAACGGGAGGTGAGAGGGGAGATGTTAGTTGGCGAGAGCTGGTGATTATGGTGGTGGTAAGAGAGATTTACATCCTCATTTTTCTCAGTGGGAAGTCAATATGTAAAACTAAAAGTAAGGAAATAGTAGGATATCATATAAATAACAGGAATAATCTTTAAGAAGATAATATAAGTAAACCCAAACTATTTTTCTTTAGGAAAATTGTGAAATGAAAACCTGGTATTTTGCTTTTAACCAGGCATGTACAACTATTATCTCTACACTATTATCAAGCATATGTTTGATAAAAATAAAACTCATT